CCCCCCCCCCCCCCGTTAAAATCAGTCTGTGTGTTAAATGGACTCATTCATCTTCTCCACGACCGGACTCGTCTTCATCAAAGAACTCCCGAGGACGGAGCTGTGTCTGTTTCAGCTGGTAACTGGTTTGTTAACGTTACTGCAGCTGAACACGAACATCACGGTGAATTAAACTAGATCCATGTGACGCTAACGTTAAGATATTAGTGAGTAAATTTAGTTTATCTACGTAGCTAAACTCAGAAGCTAACTAAAGACTGACAGTAACAGATGAAGCTTGTAAACATGTGCTCATCCATGAGGTCAGCTGGTTAAACAGTTCACCTGATGTTCATGTCCTCCTCACATCAGGGTCAGAACCTCCTGTGAGGAGAACATGAACATCAGGTGAACTGTTTAACCAGCTGACCTCATGGATGAGCACATGTTGGAGGTAAGTAAGCTGTAAAGGAAGTTGTTGACCAGTTAATCTTTTATTTCTCAGCCTAGATTATGTTTTTGATCAATAATAAATCAACCATGTTGTTGTTGATGTTTTGTTCTCATGTCAGTTAGGGAGATGATCAGAGCCCTGAACCCCAGAGAAGATTCAGGCAGAGACACAGAGGTGCAGAATCTGCATCAACTTCAACTCTAACCTCAGTGAATCCAGTGACCTGCTGGTGGGATGTGAGGGACATATGTCAAACTGACAACCAGGTATCTGTGTGTGCAACAATCATCATCTACAGCCTCAGAGTGAACATGTTCTACTGCTGGAGACACCATCAGCCAGGAGCAGCTGGTTTGTGTCCAGAGAAAACAGACATGTTGATGTTTCTGAAGAAGAACTGTTCAGTGAAAAGGTCCTCAGTGTGAAGCAGTGACCATTAGACACTGACCTGTCACTGGTTTGAAACTGGTCCTTTGAACTGGAAATTATTTGTTTGTTTTTATGTAAAAAAAACTGCTTGGAACAGAAAAATACCAAAGTTAAAAAATAAAACTCTGGATTTGTACTGTAATGTGTAACGTAATTTTCTTTTTGTTAGAATTAATATTAATTATAAAACTGCTACAGACAAAAGAACCGTCAAGGAACCGACACCGGTACCAATTTTTTTAGAAAGGTACCCAGCCCTAGCAGAGAACTCCATCACACTGAGTCGAGCCGTCTGTTTACATCTGAAGCTTCGGCCACTTCAATGACACCGACAGGCCGAATGAGATCAAATCAGCTGCAGAAACAGCTGAAGACCAAAAACCAGCTGAAACGTGTCCAAACAGCTGAAACATGCCAACGCAGCTGAAACGTGTCCAAACAGCTGAAACATGCCAACGCAGCTGAAACATGTCCAATCAGCTGAAACGTGTCAACGCAGCTGAAACGTGTCCAAACAGCTGAAACGTGTCAACGCAGCTGAAATGTGTCCAAACAGCTGAAA